CATATATATATATATATGTGTGTGTATGTGTGTGTGTGTGTGTGTGTGTGTGTGTGTGTGTGTGTGTATGAGTATGCACTTAATGTAATGATATTCATAAAAATGCAATGACATTGATTGATATACTTTAGGTGCGGCTTAAAGGAGTCATATGATGTGATTTCAAGTTTTCCTTTCTCTTTGGAGTGTTACAAGCTCTTGGTGCAAAAAGAAGATCTGTAAAGGTGCAAATTACTTTAGGGGCCATTGGAGGTCTTTAATAATGGTAAAACTCTCTGCAAAAAGATATTTCCAGTGGACAAAAGCCATTTACTCCAACAAAATACACATCAAATTTCAAAACCGGACCAAAGATGACAGCGTCTGCATCAGTAGCCTTGGATGACTCCATGAGTCCTTTGAAAACCAGAGAACTGCCATTAGCTTGGGATCCAAAGCCCTAGAGATCCTCCAACCCAGTCACAATGAATCTGAATTTCATGTTGATGATTTAGGTTATTTTTTTTTATTCCTAGACACCCCCTAACACACACTCCAGTCAGGCTACACACACTCCCTGTCTACTTATGACCTTCTCCGCAGCCATATTCTTCACAGAGCGAGAACACAGCCCTCAGCGAGACGTGGCTTCTCTCTCCAAAGTCTCTCCATGCTTTGGCGCTTGTTTAAAAATTCTCACCGAGACAAAAGATGGATTAAGTAAAGTTGCTTCAAATCCTCGGCAGGAGAGTTAAGGGTTCTTCCTGAATAATGATGATAAATATGTGCTTTTTTCTCCCTCAGATTTGATTTGCGATGAACAATGCAGCAGTTTCTATTCCGCCGTTCCTCCCAAGTTAATATTTCTACAACAAATTCTCCATCCATGCACGACGACCCAACTCAGTCTTGAAAAACAATACTTAATTTTACAAGTCCCTGTAGCTTTAGCTACAACGTGAATTATTAATCTTCCACAGCTTGCGAAGTCTTGTTTCAAAGCTTTGTATTTCCAGAGAGAGAGGGGGGAAATTTAATCAAACACTAAGAAAGAAGAGTCTGAGGGGCGCTTGGAAGGGTGCACAAAGTCTTCAGAGACAAACTGTCGCTGTGAAAGGAGAAAAAAGGACAAGCCTGACCTATGCTAGCATGGTTGAGCTTCACCTCAGGTGAGTTTCTGCAGCATGCGTCTCACGTTGTCATGTTGCCACCACAGTACCGCATCTGTCTCCCTCTCTCGCTCTCTCTCTTTCCTGAGGCCTGCTCATGAAGGGAAATGTTATATTTAGCTGACCAGTATTTTGTTTGTTCACTGGATGTAACGGTGCCCTTGGAAGACTGCCAGATTGCTGCAGAGCCCAATCTCTCTCTCTCTTTCTTTTTCTATTTGTCTCTCATATATATGTATAAATTTATAAATATATATTTGATTGACTGCCTCGAACCTTTTAGCACACGACAGCTGATTTATTGTGACATTGCCACCCAGAGTGAAAATGCCATGTCCAAAAGTACCAAGTTGACTTCACATTGCACTTCCAAAATACTAATAATCTTGTAGAAGCATCAAGAGATATCAAAGAAAACTGCATGCTCATTTAATCCTGTCAATCGTGAAACACCTTGGGTGTATTAATACTGTACATTCATTACCTTTATTAAAAGGACCGTTCACCAACAAAAAAAATATATAATCTGCCATAATTTACTCACCCTCAAACTCTCTTCCATCTGTGGAACACAAGAGAAGTTTTGAAGAATGATTATGCTGCACTTTTCCATAAAATAGAAGTGGATAGAGACCAAAGACAATCAAGCTCCTAAATGACAAATAAGCACCATAAAAGCTTTATGAAAGTTGCCAATATAAATTATAAGTCTCAGTCATTGTTTACTCATCCTCAAACACATACATCTTTTTTTTTTCATCTGTGGAGCACAAAAGGAGATGTTTTGAAGAATGATCCCGCTGCCCTTTTCCATACAATAGAAGTGGATAGGGACCAAAGACTTTCAAGCTCCTAAAAGGACAAAAAGCACCATAAAAAGCATCATGAAATTGGCCAATACAACTTGTGTGTTATATTCCAAGTCTTCAGAAGTTTTGTTTACAAAAGACATATCAAAACATACCAAAGCATTGTTATTCACTGAATATCTTGCCTTGACATTTTTGGTCTCCATTCACTTTCATTGTATAAAAAGAGTAACGTTTGATGATCCTTTAGCGTCTTTTGGCACATTTTTCATTGCCAAAGCTAACAAAACAGAATAATTGAGCATGTTGTGCCTGAAATGTCAATTATTTTCATTTTAGTCTGAAATATAAAATGTATTTTTGTACACTGTATTATATAAAATGGCACAGACCTCACTTCTGTGACAATTCATCATGCTAACACCTCAGCAAACCAGTTTACATGTGTCTGACCCAAGGATTATATCAAAATGAGAATTTATGAAATCAATATTTGCCATGTTGTTTTATCTGACACATATTTAGATAGTAATGAGCTCAGCTCACATCAGATTCGGGCCTAATCGGATACATTACCTTGGCAAAGCTTCTGCATGCGTGGGTGCCGCGATCCTGGAAGGTTTCACCATGTAAATGCACTTTAAGGGTCTTAAACGGCATTTGTTTTTTGAAGACAAATATCCCGAGCAGTCATTCAGGCTTCAAAAAACCCTGACCTACTTCTAAACGTGGACATACTCAAAAGGAAATAAGTCAGTTCGTGTGTGATTGTTGTCTTGATTACAGCGTAAAGTGCAGTCAACCAGCTGCCCTGGTGGTTTCTGACTCAAATTCTCTGTGAATGAGATTACTCTTCCCAGAAAGCTTTTGTGCACTCAAAATTTGTTTTCCATATACTCACGTCTTTAGCAGAATCTCTTCTCTTCATGTGAGAGATTAATGCGAGCGGACAGGAGCGAACAGCTGAATCATATTTTCAAAGGCTGCAACACAGCAGCGGGGTGGCCACCTCTGCTCTGGCCTCGTCTGGTCACTGGACCGCGTTGGCTTTTATCAGCACAATCTGCTCCCGTGTCCCTCGTGATGAGAAAGCACCTGGCCTCCAATTGGGGAAAAGCTGTCCAAACCAACCGAGGTTCACCGGTCTGTGGTCCGGACCTCAACGGCGACACCCACAAATTCAATGTCGCCGCCACTTGAATACAAAACCTCAGCGGCGGAAAGCCTTAAATACAAACATTTGACTGTTAATCATTACGAAGATTATTTCCGAGGAAGCACTCATTTTAATTGGATGTATGGAATGCAGCTCACATTTCCTAAACAAACAGAGGGAATTGAGCTTTGCCATTTTCCGAGTGCAATGAGTCTTATCGTGCATCAACAAATGGAAAGTGCAATGAGGAGGAGCTGTAAAATCATTTATGTATTCATAGAGAATTACTCAACCTCTGCTACAATGTTATCTTACTCTGAGAGTTAGTGTGAAAGCCCCAGATTGAGAAACGTTTTTGGACAAAAATAAAAACAATATAGAGTTTTTATACAAAAATCAAAAATGTTCATTTGTGTCTACAAATGATAGACTAAAATGACCCTAAAAGCACCAGTACCTGCTGCTAGCATAATGGAGCTTACAGTGAAGTTTCCTGCACTACACTGTAATTAGATTTTTAATTTTTTTATTAACCCTAACCTAACCCTAACCCAACCTTCTTTGCTGGTGTCATAAAGATTAACTGGCAAGAGAGCTTCTTCAACACTGATCTTTAGACAATGTTCTCACAAGTTTGAATTTGTCAGCTAACAATGTCCTACAGTGGATATAAAGTGCATGCAGCATAGGAGAAGTCATTTTTTTCTGATTTAAAAAAAATATATATTTCCACCACATCTCTATATGTACTGTGTTAAAGAGTGTTATGTAGTGGAAATTATATTTTAAACAGTTTTGGGATATAATTGTGCCTGGTGTTTAATGAATTTGAAATACACAACATAATATTTAATAATAATAATAACAACAGTAACTAATAATAATTTAATAATAATAATTTAACATTTTAGCATATTTTGACCAAATTACAGCTTGATATGTAATAATAATAATAATGTTTGCAATGATAATATTTAAATATTTTAACAAGAATATTTGAATTTTATTTATGTATTTTGTGCTCAATTCGACCAAATTACAGCTTGTTTGCAAATGATAAACAATAAAATTATTCTGTTCAAAAGGGATTTTTACCTTGATTTTTCACATCACGTTTCATCGTGGTGTCTCTTCGTAACCAAGTAAAGAAACTAAAATAAAATAAAAATGTAGAAAAGATGGTATTAGCGGCTAAATTGTTGGTTATTGTGAAAAATGTTTATAACTGAATGGCAATTTGTAATGTGTGTAAAAATTACAATCATTTCCCAACAATAAATAACAAAATGGTTTATTTCAATCTTTGCGATCAAAGTTCAAAGTTTTAAAAATATAATAATTAGTATTTTTATCCAAATTTATTTTCATATTTTAAGATTGAAGGTCTGGTAAAGGGACCTCCAATAAATGGGAAAACAATAAAACAGCAATAATAATTAAGTTTAATGTGTCCTTCATAAAACTAAATCTGTTGGTTTTAATAAAAATCAACCCCTGAAATTCTAAAAAACGTCCGTAATTGAACAAACACACATTTATGTGCATCATACATCTGCAAATGGCGGTGTCGCTAAGGTTCCGTGGGCGGAGAATCGCCGCCTCCTCAAGTTGCAGCTTATCTCAGTCAACAGGCTGCGGCGAGTCTGACAAGCACTTTTGTCTCAGCCCACGTGCACTCCTTTATCTCTGTCTTTCTTTCCTTCACCCTCCTCTTCTTCTTCAACAGCTGTCCAAACCGAAGCACCCCTCAGCCTCTTCATCACCCACTTACGCCAACTTTGCGCAGCCAATTAGCATGTTGCAATCCCAATCAAAACAACGGTCTGTCAACCTGTAACAGAACGACACCCGGTTACTCTGCCTCCATAATCCATACGCCTGAGAGTTGAGCTTTGATAGTACAAGTGTTGTAGCTGTGGTGATATCCCTGTGTTTGTCTGGAGACTTTCTGTACGTCTTACTATGCCAACATACACCTCGACTCTCAATACAGCACAGAGACTATCCAATATAGAGCACTCCGGAATGGTAATCTGTGAATTGGAGCCCTCAGGGCAAATTCATTAAGTGTTCTATTGCTTTGTTCAGCAAAATTTTTTTATTGTGTTCATTTACTCTATTAGGCTTAATATAGTTGTTGCTGATTTGGTGGAAATAGGACTAAAATTAAACTTGACTGCTATTAGCAAAATTAGCAACAAGCAAGGGACATTTCCATAGTGTGCTTAATGTATTGTTCAATGGCCGTTGTTATTATTATTAGCAGGCATCGAGCAGCCAAAGGCTTTCTGTCACCTGCAAATGAAGATGTATGACACCACATTTCTCCCAGTTCAAGTAGCATTGTGGACTCTCTGGAAAGTGTTTTTCCACCACAGCTTCATTCTGTATTAATTTCAGTGTACAAAAAAGGAAAAACATCTGCATAGGGTGAAGGGCTTGTCATTGGAGGATGAATGAGGAGATTATTTGCATAAGCTGTCTCAGCATTAGCTATAAGATGGATTTTGCATCACTAGCTTTGTGATCCCTGACTGTAAGAGTTTCTCTGAGATACCAGACAAGATGAGACTCTTTTAGATTTGATATCCAAAACTGACACTCACCAGATGCAAGGAAAACTTTTTTTAAAGTTATTTACTGGCATGTATGTTTCCATTAAGAACTTTAAATATACATGGAAACTTTCCATTGCACCAAAGGTTCTTTATAGTGGACAAAGGTTCTTCAGTTTATTAAAAAGTTCTGTTAATTGGTTCTTTTAAGAACCTTTCCATTCAAGGTTCTTTGCGGAACCCAAAATGGTTCTTTAAAAGGCAAAATAAATAAATAACCAGCCAACCTTTGGAACCTTTATATTTAACTGCATAATAAATAGTTTAAATTAATTTTAAAATATTAAAAATATAAACATTTTATTCAATTCATTTAGTAATAAAATGTGAGTTGATTTATTTACTCAACTGATTTGTTCATAACACCAATTCATTTAGTAACAACACTTCTGCACTGAAACAAAAATTGGTGTACAATTTTCAATTGCTAGTAAAGTTCATAATTTAATTACAATGAAAATGGCAAGTAACAGATTAAATTAAAATTACATTTTGAAGTAGAAAAACTGAAATAGTATTTTCTTCTTAAAATGTAGTCCAGTGACAGTGCACTGTAAAAAAATAAAAATAAAATTGTAAATAAGATTATTTCAGTTTTTCTTTTTGTTGCTCAGAGTCACGCAATGGTTAAATATGCATTGGTTAATTTGGTAATAATTTTGTATAAGTGGAACAAAAGCAGACAACGTAACTGGCAATATTTTATCTAAAATGTCAGTTACTTAATATTAGCTTTTTGTTTATTGAACTGCTGTATTACAGTAATATACAAGTGAAGACACGGAGAAACTGGTTAATATATAATGTTAGAAACAATAACTGCCTATGTTTGCCACAAATATAAAAGGGAAATATTTCTTTGTCATAGGGACATGACTGTTTGTGCAGCATATAGTTTCATGGCCAGTACGAAGAATGTATGGCCCGTAAATGTTCTCAATTCAGTCAGAAAGTAATTTTTTGACCCAGCTTAACTCTTTCTATTATATATTCTGCTCTGTGTACCAAGATGGAAAGTAGGATGTAACACAGTGGAGAGACAAATGGGCAAGCCAAGGAAGCGCCGCAAATGATTTTTCAAAACAAATTTGTACATCAATTCCCTCAGGTTGTGGAACAAGCAAGCAGATTTAATTGGGAAGATGCCCTAGAATAGGAGCTCACCTGGAGAGGACCATTTTTTACACTCTTTCCTTGTGTCTCTCAGTCTCTCTCCCTCCCTCTCTATATTCTTTATCTCAGTCTGTCAGAGAGGCTCTGTAATCACTTCATCTGTTATCAGTCATTCCCACTGTTTCTGCCATCCCAGAATTCTCGGCTCTTGTTGAAAGTCTCCTCTATTGACAGCCCTGGGTTATCAGCAGCTTGTGAGGTAACATCACTCGGATACTCCGTTTGCTGTGCATGTCTCTTCTAGATTTACATTGTTTTATTATCGACTAGTTCATTAAAGTGTATATATATATATATATATATATATATATATATATAAAAACAGTTTTTTTACAAATACAAATGCAATCATTAGCAAATCTCAAAATAACTAAACTACTGTATATTGTACTGTATAATGTATATATTCATACTGTACATACAGTTTTAAAGTAATTATTAACATTTTAATCATTTTTATTTAATGGTGAATACAATAAGAATACATAAGTCATTCAGTTTGGAATGGCATAAGGGTGAATAAATAAATGTTTTTTCGAATGAACTATTCCTTTAATCATATTCATCAAAAGTACTTTTCATTTCTTAAACCCGCTTGTCTGCTTCAATGTAGATATTACAGTATAGCATTGTTTTTTCGCTATGCATGCATCACCGTGATTAGGAATGCTGTCCTGGATGTGTTTTGTGCTGTCGGATCGGTTGACTTTGACTTGCCTGTTGTCTTATTTGTTCCCTGTTTTTGTTCAGTTCCAAATCCATATCATGACTCAGCCCACAAGCAAGCTGTCCACGTCTATATTTGCACTGACTCAAAAGCATACTGTTAAGTGGGTCAGATCTTAGGAAACTTTGGCCTGCTTTGCCAGTTGGACCCATGGTAATGAGGAAAAAAAGGAGGGCGAAATCTGTTGGCCCTTGTGCAGCGCGGACTCATAAACGCGAGCTCCGCAGATTGATGCGTTCTTACCGAATTTTGGCCCAACTAGCCGGGAGCTCGGCGTGAGGGTAGCCTGCATGACCTCATCAAACATCCTCATAAATCAGAAAAGTTTGGTGTGCCTAAAATTTATTTTCCCGGAAAGTTTGCTGCAATCTACATAGAAACGGTTAAGCAGAAAAGCCTGTGATGGAAGCAGCAGTTTTATGACTTTGCAGCTGAATTAAATGAGGCATGTTGATGGCTTTGTGCCTAGAGTGATAAAAGTGATTTTCTTTTATTTTTTCGCGAACAGGCCTCAGTGGTACAGGTAGCCTCAGTACTTGGCTTGATGGGGCTTGTCCATTTTCAGCTCCCTTTTGCTCTAGTGGAGATGAAGAGGCCGTGATTGTGCCGGAATAAATATCCGGGAGTGCATGTGCCCTGAATCAACCCTCGTTCCCTTTGCTCGACAGTGTAAGGTCACTCTCAACGGCTGGAGGGAGGATGGGACGTCCTGCTAATCCAAGCCCTCGTCCAGCTCACATGTAGGGATTACATCCTCCCTTTACATTACGACAATTGTCCCCGTGCATCTCGCCGATGACCTGTTCTCTAAGCCGGAGAAAGAACATGACCAAAACACATGCTTAATCATGGTGCATCTCTACAGCTGTTGCATTTTCTGTACTTGAGTTACTATAGCGACAGTCAGTCATGTTGGCCTTGATGTTTTCACAGTCCCCTCTAATTAGGCTCCGTGGTTTAAAATGACTCGGGACATTTCGGTGCACGCGCAAATCCTTCTGACAGCACGGTCCACTGAAAGAGAAACTGTGAAGGTAATGTTTGCGCTATGAAAACTTGAGGACATCGTCTTTGACTCTGATATAGCGCATATCCTAAATCTTTAGTAGTAATGTTTTATGTGTATGGCTACATGTTTGGTTAATTTTGTTAATTATATTTTACAATCATCCAAGCCATTTTACTCTGTGCCCTATCCAGAAACAATTATGAAGACAAATACTATTTTTCTAAAATTAGTATTTGTAAAAAAATTTAAAATAAAAAGTATTTGCAAAAAATTCTGTCGCATTCTGTCTGACAAGTCTATTTTAATACTGACCTACAATCAATAAATAGTTGATGTTAAAATGTAAATGGTTAAATATTCAAATTATTGATATCAAAAAGATTTAAAACAAAATTTCATTTTCATTTAAAATTTTCAAGTTTACACATTTAGGCATCACAACATCAAAACTGTATAATATACAGTATAAAATTAGATATTCATTTTGAGAATGAAATTATATTTAATTATAAAAGTTGAAATTATATTTAACACAATTAACTTTAAATTAATCTTAAATAATGGCAAAAATAATCCAAATGTAAAAATAGATGAAATGTGCATGCATAGTTAAATATCCAATACTGAAATATATTTAAAAAATAAAAAATATCTGATAATGGTAGATAAGATATCAATACTGTATATCATGCATCAATGCACCAAGCACAATAAGACCATAATGTGTATTAGAAAAGTAAATAGGTTCAATGTTAATTTCATGACTTAGCATCTCTTAAATAATGGCAAAAATAATCCAAATGGAAAAATAGATGAAATGTGCATGCATAGTTAAATATCCAATACTGAAATATATTTAAAAAATTAAAAATATCTGATAATGGTAGATAAGATATCAATACTGTATATCATGCATCAATGCACCAAGCACAATAAGACCATAATGTGTATTAGAAAAGTAAATAGGTTCAATGTTAATTTCATGACTTAGCATCAATATATAACATTAATCATATGTTGTATGTGATATGTGATTTTGTTGCTTTGCGAAGAATTTTGTTTACTTTCACACTGGAAAAAAATGGTGTAGAAACAATTTTCACTTAGAAATTGCTAGTAGATTTCACAATTAATTACAAAGAAACAGCAAGTAACACACTGAATTAAACATGACATTTTCACTTTCACACTGGAAAAAAATGGTGTAGAAACAATTTTCATAGAAATTGCTAGTAGATTTCACAATTAATTACAAAGAAACAGCAAGTAACACACTGAATTAAACATGACATTTTGGACAAAAAAAACATTTTTTTTTGTTGTAAAAAGTACTCCAAAAATTTTATTTACAATTTAAAAAATCATTTTTTAGTGGGTAGAAGAATTATTTTACTATGGAAACTGGCCACATCACACTAACTTGACCAAGTAAACCGTGCCATTTATTCCCATTTCATTATTATACCTGCCAGAAATATTATCACATTAACTCGCCTTGAAATGTCATACATATATCATGCTAGATGAAGCTTTTAGATGAAGGCCGTACGTTTCATTCATCATTGGGAACACACAAGCATGAGATCCATAAACAAAATACAGCCTCCTGTGAGGCGAAGTAGATGTGAGGTGGCCGACACTCTCTGACAGCATCTCAGAGAGGGACCGCTGAAACCAGCCCCTCCGGCAACCCATTTATTTTTAACTCTCCCTCATCCCGCCGTCTGCAAAAAAAAAGCTCCCGGCTCTCCATTAGTGCGGTCACGTGCTGTCAGCGATGCACGGGCCAGTGGATGGCAACAAGGGACCAAGAGTCCCCTCTCTACATATCCAATCAGCTTAAACTCTGAAATAATAATAACCAATAAGACTAAAAAAAAAGAAAATATCTCAACATTTCAAAGTGTGCTCCAATTTACCTAGATAATCAATATGAACTCTGAAAATATCTGTTATATTATCTACTTTATACTCGTATTGCATATCAAAAAATATTCTAATTTGCGCCTACAATCCTTAGAAATATAAATATAGAAGAAATATCAAGCAAATGCTTAAATTAAACATAAATGTTGCTCCAGAGACGTAATGGAGTCCTTCAAAGTGCACCCTTGGAAAAATAAAATTCTTGCGGTGGGAATGAATATTTGCAGTTGATGACGAAAATGAGACAGAGCCAACGGATGATTGACGGAAACATGACAGCATTGTAACACAAGAACCGTGTGGAAGACGGCCTGTTTGTGTGTTTGCAACTCCTTATTTTGTCCTGCCTGTTACAGGACTGCCAGCTGTGCCGTGCTCCAGTTTTAAAAGCTGAAGAATAGTCTCTCCAGAGAGCAAAACATGCAGTCTTAGATGCAGGAGAGGAATGGACGCCCACTTTCTAGCATTAACGCACTTCAAAAACAGTTTGGATGCATTAACCACCTCTGGTTAATATTCTGAAAGTGTGGTGACCCCGATAGAGCGCTGCATAAAAACTCCCACCCATTTTGCCATGACAATCGTGATCTACGGGCAAGCGTATGACCGTGCATGCATGTGAGGCCACGGGTGTATTTTTTACAATTCATTCTTGGAGCAATCAGGCATCTCAACCACTGTGTCTATTCTGTCATTACTGCTTTAATAAAGCGTGAAAGTGGCTTGCTCGCTCACCTTGAGTGTGTGAGCACGCGTGCGTGTGTGTATGGGAGGGGTGAAGAGTGTGTCAAGTGTCCGCTGCTGTGTATCAAACTGACTCACCAATCAGGAGAGGAGGTGGATTAGTTTGTTGCTGTAGCAGTGGGCGGACTATCAGAGCTCCTCGTGCAGTCACATCATCTCTTTTTCTCTGTGCATGTCTGAAACTCTTCAGTGGGTCCTTATGCAATGGCCTAAAAAGCGTACAAGTCACTGTTAAAAATATATGAATGCCATTGCATGCCATTGAAAACAACATATCAAAACAAGTGGAATTTATTTTTAACAAAGGTATTTTACCAAAATCACGTTTCTCAGATTTGGCCAGCATTTCAACTGACTCAAGAAAGTACGGTCCAGGTTACTACGTTACTCACAAACAAACATGGTGCATAATGGTCTTGATTTTTGAATGGTCAGAAGAAGTTCAATGAATGAATTAATGAATGAATTAATGAATATCACAATCATGAGCTGGCTTTTTGAAGTTATTTAAATATAAAACAATTATATACACACACACACACACACACACACAGACATATATATATATATATATATAATTTTTTACAGTTTTATATTTATGTTTTATGTTATACATATATTTTAACAAATATTACATTCAGGGAAAAATAAAGTGTCTTAAGTATATGTGCAGTATGAAAAAAATAGGAAATTTAAAAAATACATATATTTAATTTTTATTTTCATTTACCATCATGCAATTATGAGCTGGCTTTTGATTTTTGATTTAAACATTATATATATAAATATATATTACAGTTAATTTCAGATGAATAGAGAAAATAAAAGTGGCTAAAGTACCAGTGCATTGTGGGATAGATAAAATATCTGGGAAACGTGCCATGTAGTTTTGTTTCATAAATCTATTAAAAAAAAATCACCTTGTGGGTTTAAATCAACTGCACAATTTTGCTCAGAAAAGTGAAATTAGTTCTGAGAAAAGCTCTAGTGCCATTTGTTTGAATTGTAAATGTCGCTTAACCATCCAATAATGGTTTGGGCCACTGTATTGCTCTGCATGTGCAAATCTTAGCAAGAAATAAGGACAGAGAGGAATAATCACATGGCTGTTCTCTCTCTCCAAGAGTTTTGGCTGTGAATCAAGCCTCCCCAACACACATTCTCCCTGTCTCTATCTACCTAAACGCCTGCTCTCTTGCGTTGCTAAAAGTGCGCTCCCAAGGGGCTCAGCGTTGTCTGGCTTAGGGGAGAGGAAACTCGCTGACTAGGCCGGGTACGACGCAGGACGAGGGTATGTGGCGCTTGGCTCATGGTGCTGCTTTGATTTTTTTCTCTCGTGTTCCCTGACTCCCTCTGGCCGTGGCCATAGAGCTCTGGGAGATGTGAAGGGTGATGAATGGAAGGGTTTGTGTTTTGGGAGGAGCGGCGTTCCCTCCTGAAACCTTTCAGCGAGACGTGCCATCACTCATGGCAGGCTGGCCAGGAAAGCCTCATTCCAGGTGCTGCTGGCTAGTGATTTTCAGACAGTTTTTTGGCAGACTGCTCAACACAATGGATAATAGAGTGTGATAAAAAAAAGAAAAAACAGGACTCAGTGGTTGAGATACGTTTCTCCTCCCATGAGCCTTTGTATTTCTTCTCAATTCAATGTAAAATTTAACTCTACAAATAAGCAATGGATCAATACAAACCAGAGGGCAAAGTTTGAACCAATATTGAGTACCAATTCAATAAATAGAAAGCCTATGCATGTATCTTCATTGTGTTCAATCCTTTGTTGGTGTTCAAACAGCATTCCTGTCAAACCAACCTGAACCACTCCTAAAACCAAACAGAAATGGCAGGTTGATAAGAAAATTTTATTTTTATTTATTTATTTGCTCAACAGTTTGTGAGATTTCTTTCTTAAACCCTAAAATCTAACTGGATGATAAAAACATTGTTGCAGGATGAACAAGGACGTCCTACTATGCAATTTAATGCATACTAAATGCAACAAAAATAAAACGAACAACCTAATTGGATCATATTATGCATATTAAGTTTCACTGCTTTTATCTATTTAATTTCACTTAATTAAATGTTTAATGCTGAATGTTTATGTAATATAAAATATGTCAGTCAGGGTCTAGTATCTTTGATTTGTGTATGGCATCAAAAGACTCTTATGAACAAATTTGCTATAATTCAATAAAAGGCCACTGACACCGATTAATCATGCTTCATTTTTTACAAATATCTTCAGTGTAGAATCAACATTGACCATAACTATTTCTAAGTTACCGTCATGTTATGAATTGTGCATACATATGTGACATGCTCATTCATTTTTAATTAAGACTTCGCAATGGGCGGAATCAGTGTGTCAACAACTTGTCACCCAACTTTACATTAACCTTTGATATAATATCTGGTTGAAAGAAACCGTGTTTTGACCCTGAATCCTTCATAGTCACTGTCATTTATATGGCATTGAGAAGCATGAGGGACACGACCACCTTCTTACACTCCATCTGTCCAGTGTGTGATCAAGCGGCAAACTGCTGACTCAGCCTAAGGCGACGTCCAACTATAGCAGACTCAAAATAACTTGATTTGGGTCAGGTTGTCACACCTACAGACAACCTGTTTTTGCAGCTCTTATGAAAAGAAAAAAAGGTTTAAATCAGCCTAAGCTGGTTTGCAGGTCTCTCCTGGCCTAGCTGTTTTTTTTAGTTGATCAAAAATGGTGAAAACGTCTCTAAAACCATCAAACCAGCCCACCGAGACCAAAAAAAAAAAAAAAAACCATACTCACCAATTAAGACTAGAAGACAGGTGACAAACTTGCTGATCATTCCCACCACTGATGTCGAAATAATACCAGAAGTACCTTGAAAGCAACTGTAATAGATTGAATTAGGATGCAAATGATGGAGAAATTTTACTTTGTGAAACTGATCTTACCTTGTTTGGAGCTGGACAATGGTTTGTCAGTTTTTCAGTGTGAGAAGAAGCTCAAAACATCATGTTGGACGACATCAGAAAGGTCAGCAGAGCTATTAAAGAGAAAATTCACCACTGAAACGATGAGCTTTTGATAAAAATTGTCTATCTATGCGGTATAAAGGCAAAAGGTTTTTGAAATTGATGTTACATTACTAGAGAAAACAGAGAAAAAGGACTGTGGCGTTACCTATTGCCCAAAACGTCAACACCCATAATTGTATGTACAGCAAGACCAAAGATCAGTTTTCAGCTAAGGCTGGACAATAAAAAGAATTTAAGGGTATGTTTACATAACAACAATGTACTAAGAACTACCTTCGTGTTTTTGAAAAGTTTCGCATAAACATTGTCAAAACAATCCCAGTTCACACAGATCAGCGAAAATGACTAAAAATGCTGTATTATGCATGCCAGGCCAGTAGTGGGCGATGCCACTTTGTAAAGAAGCACTGCGCACGTACCTAGAGACTGAACACGTAATACGCATAATGTCACCTTTTATACAAATTAGCATTTTGTAGTTTATACAGAGACAATGTATCATTTTCAAAAACTTGCACTTTGAAACACATTTTCAAAAGTTTTCAAAATGCAGTAGTCGAGTAAACGAACGGCCAAAACGCATAAAAAGTTTTCAGTTTTTAGTTGAAAGCGGTGTCGCGTAAACGCCCACCCTCAAGTTCAAAGTTTATAATGGACTGGGTTTGATCTGTGAGCGTTTAATGCTATCCGATTGACTTTTGCTGACAAATAAACGGGAATATCTCAGTGCAGGTAACATGGAGAAAAAGTACACATTGTTCATTTACATACAATACTATCTATATAATATATAATACAAATACAATAAAAAGCTTGTTGAAAATAGGCAACACGTTTAACTCAAGAAGACTATGTAAATGAAACTTACAACTAACAAGATGTCATCCTTACTGTATCTCCAATATATGAAAAAGGGTACAAAAGCTTTCACTAGAGAGGTACCTTTCAAAAAGGAACACTTTTGTATTTTATTTACCCCTAAAGGGTGCATATTAGTATTTAAAATTTACATATTAGTATCTTTTGAAAGTGTACAACCCCAGTCACAACCTTTTCATCTTTTTTCTGAAAATGTAGAACAACAGAAGATTCAATAATCTGATTGAAAGGATCGGTTGACCCTGAATCCTACATAGTCGCTGTCACTGACAGGGCATCGTGGGGCATCTGTGATTTGGCCACCCTTTTACACTCCATCTGTCCGATGTGCACTCGAGCGCCCGGACTGGAATATCACACGCCAAACTGCTCACTCAGCTTAACTGATCTGACGATTCACATTTAGAGCCAAGAGGAACAACTGCATCTGTGCCTGGGATTCATCCTAAGGGATCAATTTCATTAACTTCCAATCTTTGATCAGTGAACGTAATGGCTCAGACAGAGAGATGCATGCATGTAACCTCTGAATCTTAATCAAGCGAAAGATCACCGATCAGTTCGAATAAACATCACCGTATGGGACATTTCATCCCATTCTGAGACTTACTGTACGACCGTAATACATTCTCACCAGAAGATCTCATCAATATTTCATTCATTTGATCATAGATATGGTGACTAATGCCTTCTTTTGTTAGTATGTTAATAATTCTCTCTATTGGCCGTGATGGCCGTATTACGGCCGTTCAACAGCCCCGCAGTCCCGTCATGCTTTAGCTTCAACAAACAGATTAATGTTGAATTGCAATTTCCTCGCAGTCACCTCAATTAATGGATCCCGGCATCATTTCTGTAGTTCAGCGGTATTGAACAGGTCAGATTATTAAAAAGCCATTTTGGCTATACATGAAAGTGATGTATGAGGTCACCGGCATGAAAGGAAACGTTTTAATGTTTAAGATCAACCGTGATACGATTGTCTTTCTCTCTTTTATTCAGAAAACACACTGTGCCTAAATGTACAGGAGCCATAGACAAGCCAAGTGTATATTTAGCTCATGTAGGCTGGGACAGAAATTGCATTTTGTTACTTCAAGTCCATTTTCATTTTCGGTTCTGTCAGGGAAAATCTGCCGGGCGACATGATTAATTCATGCTAAATTAAATGCTCAAATGTAATACACCAGAATGAGACACAATGTCTCAAATGACATGGCGTAACGTGCTAACTGAAGTGCTTGAATCATTTATGGAAAGACACACTGTGGTTTTATACATTGACAAAACCTCCAATTCCTGAAAAAGACGTGCAACATTCATCCACGGAGACTGACGAGACGTTCAGATGAAAGATTCTCTTTGTCCTATTGAGATGGATGAGTTTGGGCGTATTGTGAGGTATAGCTTTAGCATTCAACAGGCAATGCCGATAAATTTAAATACATCACTAAGATTTGACTCTTTATTCTCCATCCCTGTCTTTTTCATTTGAAGCCTGACATGCTTCTTGATTTAGGCTGTGATGTGGCTGCCTCTCCAAACAGCCTCTTTATGAGCCTCAGTACATCATATTGATTTCTGTGGGAATGAGATTTGTTGCGAGCAGATCGCTCGTGCTGCTGATGCTGTGCTTGTCAGATGAAGGTGGTTGTGCACAAGGAAGGAAGGCAGAAAGAATGGAAGGATGGAGTTTGGTGAATCTGATCCCAATGCCAGGAACTGTAAATTAAGTTGGGCTGCATACTTGGCTGTATGGCAGCCGGCTACAGTCTAATGCTAGTTCCAGACAGTAAACCTACTGTCTGAAGCATTTTGCACACAAAAATCGCAAGCACTGACTGAAATAACAAAGTCATATTTCAGTCAGTTACATAAGAATGTCCATAATAAATCTAAAAATAGTGGATTTTTTTTTAATAAAAAAGGGCAAATCTTTAAACACATATGCCTTCAATGTACTCAAAAATATACAAGAATTATACAATAAAATATTTTCGATAGACATTGAATTCATTATTATTTTCAAACCTCATCATTAAAAAAAAAAATTTTTTTTATATATATTATAAATATGAATATATTAATTGTATATATTGATAACATAAAATAGCTTTTTACTATATATATAGTATAATATATATATTAAACTTTTTTATTTTATCAATTCATAAATATAATTTATGAATTATAGTTTGACACCTTGTGAACTGCAAACAATTATTGAACTGAATTAATTTAAAATTGATCAAAACTTCTCTGCAATTCATTTAAACGGGGTTAGTCGTTGCCTAATGGTTAGATAGTCGGACTTGTAACCCGAAGGTTGTGGGTTCGAGTCTCAGGTCCGGCAGGAATTGTTGGTGGGGGGAG